ATTTTTATGTTTGGCTTCTAAATCCTTATTAGCATAAGCATACATATAGTTCACTTTTAATATTAAATATAATGATTGATATAATTAACTTATCATACTCAAATTATAGTATCTCAAAAATTTCAAATACTTTATGGAAGGTATGATTAATTTTGGAAATTTTTTTAAAGATATTTAACTCTGATAATTTTTTACACCTTTAATTAGTTGATATTTTTTGCACATTTAACTTATTTCGATTATGTATTTGAGCTTCATCACCCAATACTTACCAATTAAGCAAAATTATAAATTATTAAATTAATTAATACTATTATTTTATGGGTTAATGAGTAAATAGGATCCTGAACTCTTGCTCGAAAATTACCTTAGACCCTAAACTCTTAAAATATGTAAAATAAACCCTAAAATTTTAAATTCATAGCAAAATAAATCCTAACCATTAACTTTTTTAATACTGTTACTGTTCACGCAAGTACTGTTTATGATTTATTTTTCTATAAATTTAACCCTGACAATTACAGTATCCATATGGACAATAACAGTGTTAAAGAAGTTAACAATTAGGATTTATTTTGCTATGAATTTAAAAGTTTAGGATTTATTTTATATATTTCAAGAGTTCAGGGTTCAGAGTGATTTTCAAGTAAGAATTCAAAATCTTATTTGCTCATTAATCCTTATTTTATCTGTAAACATATAGAACATTATTTAATCATTGGATTTGAATTAAAATTGTCAATCATATATATTGACTAGATATTAAATTTATCAATCATATATTTATTTACATATTTAATTTTTATCTCATTTAGATTAATATATCAAAAATTACTAATACCAAAACTAAATTACATTTAAATTTAAGGATTAATATGTAATTTAAACTCTAAACAATAAGTTTAGGGGCTATTTGAATTTTAAACTTTTAAAAGATATATTTTAAACCCTAAACAATTAAAACTGGAGCAATTTTGCCTCTATCATTAAATTTAAACAAATGTTTGTCAAAATTGGGTCAAATGTGTGATTTTCACCAAATGAGAGTAGAAGAGAGAGAGAAGGAAAGTAAAATTTGATGAAAATTGCATACTATGCCTCAAATTTTAAAAAACTGATAGACGTTTGTTAAAATTTAATGATGGAAGTGAAATTATCCAAACTTTAATTATTTATGTTTCAAAATATATTTTTTAAAAGTTTAAGGTTTAAATCACTCCTAAATCTATAATTCAAGGTTTAAATTATATATTAATCCTAAATTCAAATGCAGATTTTAACATAATTCAAGTATAATTATTCATTGATTCAAAAACATACTAATTTTTGTATAAGAATTTTTGCAAACCAATATCAAGAGTAATCATATATTAATATGATTTTTTTTATCTCAATTAGAGTACTCATGTATTTACAAATAAAATATTATTTTTTATATATTTTAAGTAAATTTAATATTTTTAATTCAAATCCAAATTGAATTTTAATTTATATTATATACTCAAAAAAATCAAATGGATTTTTAATAAGTTAGATGTTTTCTTCAAAATTAGAAAATTAAATATGAGAAGTTATACATCCTTTAAAAACATTTTTTTAATTTATATATTTAAGAATTAAAAATGTTATCTTGCACCAACCTAGAAATCAAAACCATCCTTGATTCCTGAATCATAATTGTAGGAAAGACACTCTGAAGTCAGAATCATAAAAAAATTACCAAAGTTAATCCTTTAATTTTATATATACATTATGATTAAATAAGATAAATTAATTACATAATCTAAAAAAAACGAACAAGTGGAAACTTTTTATTAATGTTGCCAAACATAAAATAATATATATATTTTAATACAGTCTCCATAAAATAGATTTCTTTTTAAAGTTGGCCGTTTGTTTCAACTTACTTTATGAAAAAAAACTATTTTTTAAAAGAAAAACTATTTTATAATTTTTTCTGATGTTTGTTCTTTATTTGTCTAAATTTTATGATGCCTATTTAAAATTTTAAAAATAATCAAAATTAAAAAAATTTCTAATTATTTTAGGTCTTGTTTGTTTAATATTTTTCTTGAAAAAAGCTTTTTATTAAATCAATTATGTGAGATGTCCTTGTGTTTGTTTAACTTTTAAATAATATATTTAAAATTCAAAACCTGATATTTCATTGTGTTAAAATTGAATTTAAATTTTTTTATTTATAATCGATATTGCATATGTATTGGGGGGGAATTTGAATTTAAATTATCAATCTAATCTAATCACCAGATTTTAAAATTTAAACTAATCTAACTTAAAATTTGGAACTTAAATTGATCCTTTTTATTTAATTTTATTGTTGAAATTTAAATTAATTTTTTAATTTAAACAAATTGAAATAATCTAATTTCAAACTCAAAACTTATGAGAGTAGATTTAAATACTCACACAGATTCCTTTTTCTAAATATTAAAATAGATAGATATAAATTTACATTTAAATTTCAATATATTTACACACTAGATCATATAAACCTAGATTTTTGGCATATGTTTTAAGGTGGACAGAAACTTTAAATAGATATATATTGATTTTAATTCAAATATGATCATATTTGAATTTTAAATAGGTAAAAAATAATTTTTATATATGTATAAAAAATAAAAATTTATCTCGCACCTAACTCCAAATATGAATAATTTATTTTATATATAAAAAAATAATAAACCATCCTGAAACTGACCCCAAACCTAACTTTAGAGCACAAAATCACATGAAAGGCATATCGAACCACATAATTGCAGCAAATCTAAAAATAAACACATAACATTCTTTTATAACCTTTAACCCTACTTTTATATATATAATGATTATATTATATATTATAGTTATTGTAATTTTTTTAACGTAAAGCAAATTTTATTAAACAATAAGAAAAACGATTACAAGATGCCATAAAAGCCTAAGAAATTACAGGTCATATTTCCCAGGCCACTAATTAAAAAAAAATGATTAATGAGCAAATAGGATCTTAAATTTTTGGTTGAAAATCGCCCTGAATTTTAAACTCTTAAAATATATAAAATAAACTATAAATTTTTAAATTCATAGCAAATTAAACCCTGACAGTTAACTTTTTTAACACCATTACTATTCATGCAGGTACTATAACAATTAGGGTTAACTTCATAAGAAAATAAATCCTGAACAGTACTTGCGTAAATAATAACAATGTTAATAAGTTAACAGTCAGGGTTTATTTTGCTATGAGTTAAAAAATTTAAAGTTTATTTTACATATTTTAAAAATTTAAAGTCCAAGGTAATTTTTGAGTAATAATTGCTCATTAACCCAAAAAAAAAGACCAAAAAAAGGAAACACAACAAGCCCTAATGAAACAAACAACATGGAAATTGCTAATTGGAAAGGAAAAAAAAAGACAAAAAAAGAAAAACACAACAAGCCCTGATGAAACAAAAAACAAGATGGAAGCGGAAAAACCAAAAAACAAATAAATTTTAAATATAAGTATAATAATTGTGATTATGTTGGCAACAGAAAGTTATTGTAATAATGAATAAGTGTTATCTAAAAAATAAATAAATTTTAATAAAATATATTAATTACATTTTAAGTGGTATATTATTTTCTTATAAACTAAAATTTAGGTGGGTTAAGTCTCAAAAATTCATTATGATTTGGACACATCTTTGAATTCAAAAAGTATTTGTAGAGGTAGGTATATATCACATTCACTAGGTTTTCATATCTGTAATGAAATTTAAATCTATAACTTTATAAATTATAAATCAAATTTTTACTAACTAAATCAACCTTTGTTAGCAAAATATTTATTAACTATTCACATGGTCTGTTAATTTGACTTTTGTGGTCTTTTATTACACTCTCTAAGTCTCTATATAAAAATCTATATAAACATGAAAATATATTAATTTAACTTAGATTGGTTAGATCACAATTTAACTTAAGATCAACCATTAAACTTTAAACTAACACCTATATCTGTATTGGTTCAGTTTTTAAAAACCTTCCTAAATAACCACTGCTATGGTGAAAATTATTGTTTTTTTTTTTCACCTAGGCAAATAAGCCTTTAAATGATACTCATTTTATTAAAAAATATAAAGCATTTTTAATCAAATCTCACCTCTTAATAAAATAGTTACTTGTCTTCAAACTAACCCTATCTTTTCATATTTATCCCTATTTAATAATGTGTTCTACTTTAAAATAAATATCAAATAATTTATTTAATATTTTTGAAAAAAATAATAATTACATTTTAAAAAATTAAAAATACTTTATATTTTTAAATATTTAATTTTTTAAAAATAGTTTATATTTTTAAACAGAGGGATCATATTGCTTGCTCGTTTAGTGCTTTTTGGTAAAGTACCAGGCGTAGATTAGCATTGGATATTGGGTTCTTTTTATAGTCTCAACTTAATATGGTTGAATTTCAGCAAGGTAATTATTGTTTTTTTTTTTTTTTGGGGGTTCAGGTCTAAGAAATCTTTTCAGATGTTATTCTTGATTCTTGAGCTTTTGGAATTCAAAAATAATCAAATTCTCCCATATTTTTTATTAATCCCTCTCTAATCGTGGTTTAGACATTCAATTATTGAATTATTTTGTGTTTGAAATTTAACGTGCAAGATATGAGGACGCTATAAATATGATAACACTACACATAATTAAAATTAACACAGAAAATGAGATTCCATTAAACTAAAACAAGGCTGGGGTACAACCAAAAGAAAAGAACTAAAATAAAGATAACACGATATAAACAAAATAATTATACGGAATATCGAATATATGCTCTATCATCATCCAAAAGACGCTGCAATGGAATTGGTGGCTTAAGAGTCCAGCAAAACTCCTGATTTGAAGCTTTCGTAATTCAACCAGCAACCAACTTTTCTTGTTTGGTCCTAAACTTGAAATAGATATGAATTAAAAAGGGACAATAAAGGACAAATAACAGGGGCAGTGTCAAGGGTCCAAAGCATTCAAGCACCCACTTATTCTCATCATTTCTTTTTGTTTTGATAACATAATTGGTCCTGGTGCTCAACTCGCCTACAATTTTTTTTATTATTAGAAGGAAAAAAAGACAAAGAACTACGTAGATCAAATTCAAACCGCAGGAAAAAGCTCATCAAGTCTGCATGGTAGAGCGTAGAATTCATTATTCCTAACGTCGGCATTATATAAGCTGAACTTCTCCCACCACTGCAAGCCACTGTCTTTCCGGGCAGCATCATTTTCCCGGGAAAGCGTGATATCCAGAATGAAACCAACCATGGCAGCCACAGTTGAATGGGACATGAAGATCACCATCATTATATCATTCAACTGCACACATAGTCTTTCACATCAACAATCTCTCACAAAGCAAACTTGGTTAAATGAAATTTTCTACACAAGCACTCATGATTTCTCACCCATCTAGAACCCGCATGTTCATGCTTTACATGATAATATTCTCGGAAGTATTGCGGTATGGACATTCCCAGGAAGAATGACAATCCCAAAATGAATTTGGTTCGGAAACTGTTCAGATTACAGAACTGGAGAAAACCAAGACCAGCAGAAGCTGCATGTGCCACAGTTATGATAAGCTTCATATTAAGTTCTACTTGAATTGTAGACATGATATGAGCAGAACAGATTGTTACTTACAGACATAGCCAAAGAATACACAGTAAAATGCAGCCATGATTGGCAGAGGTATAGAAGCAAAAACTGCTCCAAATTTACCTAGTTCAGCAAAAATATACCACGTGTAAGATATCCTTAATTACAGAGAACAATATTTCACTTTAGAAGCTTTACATTGTTCAGTCATCTGAAAAAGAAACTGTCGAGTGAGATGGAAAAAATTGCTTAAAATAGACTAGACTTCGATCCAGTTCTTGTTAAGAAACACTGTAAGGGTGAATCAAGAAGGGCTCATATTTGATGAAACAATGCAATAAAACTGAGTATGGGAATGGTACAGAAGAACGGAACAACAGAGACTAGCGAGCATACCAAATACAGAGAAGAAAATCATGAAGCCAGCAGATATTTGAATGACTCTTCGACTCCCCACCCTAGTCAGAGCTACTAAACCAGCATTTTCCCTGAAACAAAAGGAAACATCATGACAACGGTATGCTTGCTAGTTAATGCTAACAATATCTCACTTGGTGACAAGCAACATCAGAAACAACAATTTGAACAATAGGTATTGCATATTTAATTCTTCATGCAGGCACCTCAACACGAAAGTTACAGAAAGCAACTTTGGTCAAAATCATGAGTTCCTCATTAGAAACTTACACCGATGCTGTACTCCCAGTTACAGAACCAAACATCCCATTGAGCAAAACGCTCACTCCCTATGATAAAAATAACAGACACATGATTCATAATGAGTTCAATGCTACATTAGAAGTTCAGGAAAAATTGAAAAAAATATATGTGTGTATATATATATATATATATATAACTACAACCATCCATCCTGCTCCACGACCAATAACCGAAGGTGGCACAGGGGTGGCACTTCCATATCTTGCTGCAGCATAGAAGGAACCAGTTGACTGCCCAACAAAGCAAATTAAAATCTGAAGCAAACTTAAGGTGAAGATCTAATCTGGTGATTGATAGATATGCAACTCTGATTGAAGAGATCTAGTTACCTCAAAAAGAGAAACAAATGAAGCAGCCATCATAGCAAAAGCTTCTCCAGCATTGAAAGTAGGGCTTCCCCATTGGAAGGGGTAAGGAATATATATCCTTTGTCAGAATACACATACATTTATTATCATATCATCCAGACTTGCAAATCATTGACCAGAAATTGGGAAGTCATAAATAAGTGAACATTGGACCCCAAAATAATAATAATAATAATAATAATAATTTAAGTGAACATAATATTACCATGGAGCTGCAGTAATAATTCCAGCACGATCAGTGCGGCAACTAATCTGCCTAACTTCAGGCTTGTGGTTATATGCAGTGCTCGAAGTTAGAAGCTGTGCATATAACCATACACTTGCAGCCGCAAACAACACCGCAAATCTATCAAATATAGGTCTCTCAATAGCCAAGTAACGATTAAGATACTGCAGAAAAACAGATGTATCATGTCATTTCTCACTTTTCTCTTTCTCAAATAAATTCACTTTTCATTTTGCTACTACTTTCTGTGAACCTCAGGCCTCAGGGACAACACAAGTGCAGTTATTTAGTAATAGCCACCAAATGCATGGATATAATATTTTTTTTTCTTTGAAATTTTTATATCTGCCCACTTTAAAAATTTATTCGTCCCCCTCAAAATTTTTCATCTGCTCTCATTAATGTTTCAAACATATACTTTTAAAAAATATTTACTTCTAATATTGATTAGAAAAGTAAGCTTTATGAAGTAGATAAAATATATTAAAATATTTCTAGCACATTTTTATTTACACCCTCCAAACTCAACTTAATGTAAAAATAAAGTTTCATAAAAAAATAAAAAATCAATTTCATGCAATCAATGTCACTACAAATATTAAGAAACAGATTACAATAAATTTTACTATTTTATTACAAAAATTTATGCAAATTGAATTCTATTCAATTAAGAACTAATGACGATGAGCGTAATGCCTAACAATATTTTATCATTCACACACACATATATAGATATATATTATCAATTGTCAATATAATTATATTTATATTTATTTTATAATTTTTTTAATATTTTATTTAAATTTGTCTCTAATTTTAAAATTTTACTAAACTTTTTTTATATTAAAATTAATTTAATAAAAATTTAAAAATCATAGTTGTATCATGATTGTTTCTGGAGCAAAATAAACCACTTGCCTGTGAGATAAAAACCATGACAATCAGCGCTGGAAGCCCAATTTCAACGCATTTTGCCAACTACAGAAGAGAAGAGGAAATAAGCATAAATCTATTCTCAAATCTAAAATAAATGATATAAAAAGAAAATCGCAAAAGATTTGAAAGTATATAACAAAAGAAGAGGCTATAGCACAAATAAGATGTGAAATAAGTCAATAACTATGTATCAACATTTACCATTGGAAAACCAAGAATGCATAGACCGAGTCCTGTGAATGTTACATAGGGAACAACAGAAAGTGGGCTCAAGAACCTGAAGCAGTAGAGAGATAATATAAATGAGGCACCAAACCCAAATAAGGATTAATAGAATGTATTCAATGAAAGCTACAATACTTTACCGGACAGCGTTTCTCCAAAAGTCCATGAATCCCACGATCATCTGGAAGCACGCACTTATTATCAAGGCACCTTGTATTCCTCGAATTGTTTGAGTGAACCTCTGAAAAAGTCGCCATATTGGTCAAGTATGCTAATTGATAACAGAAAAAGAAAAGTAGCAAATTTTCTGACTCAAACTGACCTCATATGGATCTGAATATGAACTATATCTGCCGTTCTGAATAATTGAAACTGTGGGTATCAAGTAAGTGTATGAACCAACAACTACAGTTGGAAGTCGGGTTCCAAACAAAGATTGAAGAATTGTGCTTAGTCCAGAAACAAATAATAGGCTCTGTATCACCCTCGCCTTCTCTGCCTAATAGAATGAATATTTTGAGTCAAGGGGTAAGGACACATTTGAAAAAGGGAGAAAAGGGGGGGGGGGGAGAGCAAGTGCTTACATGGCCTCCACCCATTTGAGGAACAAGTATGGTTGGAATTAAGACGGTCATGCCAAGGGTCAGAAAGTAATGCTGGAATCCCAATACTACAGCCTCAGCTGCATAGAGATGAATTGTTCAAATTCAGAAAAGTACATAATTATACAATACACATGATGAAGAATCTTGTACAATTCATTTTTCTAGTGTGAAAGTTGGTGTTAATGATCCAATAAAAAACGATTTACGGACGCCATGGAGGAGGACTGTTAATGCAATATTGAACTCCAGGCAATTGCTCCTTCACTGGGTGTGGCTGTAACTCCTCTGGCTTTTTGTTGCAAATTTGGGCCATCTATTGTAGAAAGAGTGAAGGATATCAGTTCAAGATCCCAACCTTCACCAAATGAAATTGACTATTCACATCTCTATTTAAAAGAATACTCATTAGTTACTACCATTGAAATTTATGATTAAACGGTCAAATTATTTAATGATATTCTAGCAGTTTCAAAAATTGAAATTTTCGGCTATTATTGGCATTAACATCTTATAACAACTTTACGATCAGTGTTTAAAAAACATCAAAAAATCATTGACAATATCTATCATTATCACTGTCGTTAGATTATTTTGAAAGTAATCAAATACTCATTTTCCGCCCAAAAAAAAAAAAAACAAGCTACAAACCTTATCAACATATCCCACCCTCAGACGTCGTCAGGAACATGCATAAATTACTAGACTGATAGTGCACCGCCATGGCCGCAGCGGTGAAACCCACTGCCTTATCCAACACTATTAAAGGTCATCGAACTATTCCAGCACAATGAGGACAAATTTCGGTACACTATAGCCACCGAACTATTTCCAGCATGCTTCCTGTTATAAGAAGCCAAATATCAAACGAGGGAATCCATCTTTCCTGTCATGAGAAGCTATAAATCAAATAGAAATTTTCCAGTGAACTCCCTCCAATAAGAAGCCAAAAATAGAAGAAGTCAATCCGAAAATCAGAGTCATTACAATCAAAATCATTATAATCAAAGCACCCATTCTAATACACCCTGGCTCGAGACCTTGAAGGGAATAGAAGGACCTACTATGGCCGAACAGCGCAGGGAAGGAGAAGAAGCTCGTCCATTTCAGTTTTCTCTTCCTTAGATTTCGGCATTCCTCTTCGGTTTCGGTCCTTCGACTTCCCTCCGTGTGTTTCCCTTGATCCTCCATGACAGAAGCATCCTCTTTCCCCTCTTCGCGCTCTTTTCCTCCCAAATGCGATGATTCTTATATTTTTAATTTTTAATAAAAAAATATTCATTCAATTTAAAAATATAAAGTATTTTTAATTAAATTTTATTTTTAATAAAATAATTATTTATTTTTAAATTAACATTATCTTTTTATATTTATCTCTATTAAACATCTTATAATAAATATAAAATTATTATCAATAAGGACACTTTTGAAAAAAAGGCAATGATTACACTTTAAAAGACTAAAAATACCTTACATTTTTTAACATCAAACTCTTCAAAAAATGCTTTATATTTTTGAATGGAGAGAGTACCTTTTTATTCTTTCAAACCAAGTAATTTTAAATAATTATTTTTACATCAATTATTATTATTTAAAAAATTAAATTCAATATATTAATTTTTGAAAATGTTTGGTTAATACTCCCTTCGTTAAAAAATATAAGGCATTTTTAATTGAATATCACCCTCTAATAAAGTGATTATCTACTTTTCAACTAACCTTATCTTTTTATATTTACCTCTATTAAACACTTTATAATAAATATAAAGTCACTATCAATAGGGACACTTTTGAAAAAAAAAAGGCAATGATTATACTTCGAAAAGTTAAAAATGTCTTACATTTTTAAACGGATGGACTATTTAAAAATTTAGTGTAGGAATTTTTTTTTGTTAATGAAACTAGCAATATTAGGTAAGGATTTTAAAAAAATACTTTATGAATCTAAGGGATCAAAAAGAAATATTTTTCCAAGTTCAAATATTAAAAATATATTTTAACCAAAAATAAAAAATGAAAACAAATATATTTACAAATATTGTTAATAAAAATATGAATTTAAAAAGTGAATGAAAATAAGAAGTAAAAAGTATATCAATATTTTATAATTTTAAAACTAAAAATAAAATAATTATAAACTAAATATCTATAATATTATATTTATTATTTTTTTGATAAACTATTATATTTATTCAAAACCGAAACTTATAATTATAGTTTTGATTAATACATACATATTCTGATGCAACCTAAAAAGAAAAAAGGAGATTCAAAAAGTAGGAGGGCATCCTTATTTTAGTAAGAGGAAGTTTCTTTTCCTCCTCTCAACATGAATATACTTTAAAAAAATAACATTTAAGATCCTCCAAAAAAAAATGTATTGCAATAAAAAGCTAATCAGTTTGGCATCATTCTTCCCTTTTAAAATCTTTTTGTGTTCTTTCACTTGCTTGTTCTACTTCCTGTTTGATTTTATTCCTCTATTTTTTCTACTTTTCCTTGTTTTTTTTTCTTTCTTTTTTGTTTCCTTCAATTCTTCCTTTACATGTCCAATCTCATTTCCCTAATGACATCATTTCCTTTTCTTCCAAGCTAATTTCTCCTCATTACCTGACTTGTTTATCCATTGTATACATCCGCATTGGTCTTTTTTTCTTTCTTATCTCTTCTTGCCTTGTTTTTTTCCTCTAAATTGCATTAATCACCTAGCTCCTCTAGACTCAACCTCTACTCCTAACTGCAACATTATGAATTTCTAATTTTGGAATTTAATCACTAAATAGAAGAGAATTAGTAATTTAAGGTGTGGTTAGGGTTTTGGATAATGAATGTTGTTTTGACCTATTAGGATGTGGAATAACCAGATTCAAGTCGAAGGATTGCATAGGAAAATGAAGTGTGTAAGTGTGGTGATAAATTTCCTCTTTGCGCCACTCGCCGTAACTAGTACTGAGTGCGTTGTGGTGCTTGGCACAAAAACTTGAATAATAAGCTTGTAGGTTAGCTCATCTAGCCAGAGGAGAAGAGAAAAGAGACACGAGAGAGAGGTGAGGAGGAAGAGGAAGAGGAAGAGGAGAGCTAGGACAAAGAATTGTAGCCACTTGAGGAACATTTCAAACCTGTTACTTTTCGGGTAAGTCTCGTACCACCTTAATCTTTAATTCTATACTAATTTTTCTTAGTTTAAACTATTGCAAAATTGAATCTGAAAGTTTTAAGGGATTGATTTTTTACCCTATAGTAATAGAAAGATTCCTTGAAGTTAAATTAAAACTCTATGATTGGTTTGGGGGTTAGTGATAAAGTTTTGAAGGTATAAGCTCAAATTGATCAAATTTAAAAAGAGAGAATAGGTAAAATTTGGAAATAAGCATGTTAAGGCTGGCAATAAATGATAAGTATGGGTAGAAGGTGGAAATGGACCTAGGAGGGATAGTTAGGAATGCTTAATTTTTGTAATTGGTAATTGGTACTTTTAGCCAACGTGTCAATTGAGTCCAAGTGCCAATTTTATGTAGATTGTTATTGATTAGTGTGAATTGAGCAAAGGTCATATAAGTGGTAAGTATACCACAGGTAAACTTTTTTAAAAAAAGAAGGGTTAAAGTAACTATATAGTTTATTATATTTATTAACTATTATAACTGCATAAAAGTAAATATGATTTTGATAATTTAATCAGAATGTGGATGATTTTGGCATGAAAAGTGTTTTAAATGCTCATTTGATTGTTGATGGCTTTTAAATGAAATTGATATACATACATCTACATACATACATACATACATACATATATATACATATACATATACATACACACATACATATATATATATATATATATATATATGTTATAAGTGTAAAGGGTAATGGATATGTGATAAGAGCATGATTTCGTAGAGGGTGGGAGTTCACCCTGTGTGTATGTGGGTGTGTGTGGAGATGTGTGTGAAAATAAATTCATATGGCCAAGCTGACATTATGAGACATCTAGTGTAGCACATTATATCAGGTTGGCACCATGTAACCCTTCCCTATATCCACTTGATATAGAAAAAGATTAACTTAATTACTACCACCACAACACCAAACAATAATCAAATTCTTTGTTTGAAAAGTTTAGGCTCAAGACTTGTTTTGGAAAAATTATCAAAATCTTAACATATCACAAGCATATGCAATGGAAACAAATCATATGGATTTATATAAGTCATTACATGCATTGAAAGTAAAGAATTACTACTAAAAAATAGGGTATATATAACGCCTTATGTTTAACGGTTTTAAGAAAAAAAACATTGAATAAAAAAAGGTGGGATTTCAAAAAGCTAATATTTAGCAGTTAAACATATAACTGTTGAATAAATTTATATATATTCAATGGTTAAATAAAAAACCGTTAAGTAAATGCTTCAGAAAAGTGCCCGGCGACATCATTCCAATATTCAACGGTTCCCTAAAAGTAACCATTGAATAAACTATCAGAATATTCAATGGTTAAATTAAACAACTGTTTAGTAAATGCTTCAAAAACTGCCTTATGATGTCATCAAATTATTCAATAGTTCCTTAATCAGAACTGTTGAATAAACATTTAGAATATTTAATAGTTTCTGTTAAGGAACTGTTGAATAAACATTTATTCAATGGTTCTGTAATAGAACCGTTGAATAATAGTATTTAAATTGCCTTTTTGTCTCGTGAAGCCATTACTCTTCAGACACTTTAAACTTTATTTTTTCTTTGCAAAACCAAATACCCACTGTTGAATCTCCTTCTCCAAGCACCAAGTCCACATTTCCAGCCAAACACTTTTATATTCTGCCATTGAAACACTATTGCTTGCCTTTATTGCCATTTTTGTCTTTCACTGCGTGGTGAGCAAACACGTAAGTGTTATGTTACATTCCTCTTCCTCTTCCTCTTCCTCTTCTTCTTCCTTCTTCCTTCTTCCCCTTCCTCTTCCATTCTAGTTGCTAGTTCATGGTTTATCTTCATTCAACCATGGTTCCTTACATTTGTGGGTTATATTGGCAAATGAAAAAAAGGTTAGTTTTTTTAAGAAATTGTATAAAATTTGAGTAGTTTATTTGAACATAGATTAAATTGGTTATGATTATTTAAAATGGGAATGATTTCATATACAATGTGCTTGAATTTTGCTTGAAAGAAAATGCTCTATTTGCTGTCAATTCTGAAATTTGAATTGTGAAATTGTTAAATGTGATTGATTGAGTGATTTTTAATATGAATTTGTTATTATTTTAATGTTTAATTTATTGAAAGAGGGTAGTAAACTTGGAAAATACTTAGTTT